ATATATATATATATATATTTATATATATATATATTTTCCTTGTACATATGACAATGTTGTCAATTGTACTATATCTCAACAGTCCTTTGCAGCAGCATGGAAATCCAGGATTGCAGCTCCCTTTCCCAGAGAAATCAATGGCATGTAATGCCACATATAGGTGACTCTAGCAGGTTTTCTCTCTTTAGTTAATAGAATGACCAGTTGTGAGTTGGGCTGAGGTTCTGAAATACCCCCCTTTCTTCCCCCACGCTGTTCTCCATGACTGACCTTGCCAAATAGAATTTTGATGTCTTCCATCTTGGCACTACACCAACTAAGCTGGCACTGGAGCTGCGCTTATTCTCTGTTTCTGTAGTGGCTAATGTTTGAAAGTACTAGATCTTACGACTCTCTATTTTACTGCACTGGCTGTTCTTCTAACATTCAAACATGGATGACTTCATATAAGTCAGCTTTCCTTTTCCCCATGACTATAACAGCTGTTAGCTCTCATAGTAGAGTGACTGACTTTGTTCAGAATATTAAGAATATCAGAAGACATTTAATAGATTAGCCAAGGGTCTTTGATGCACAGATGTCCGTATAAATTTTTGCTTATTCATCTACAGTTCCTAAATCATCTAAAATAGCCTGCTGATGGACATTTTTGTTGCCACATCTCTGGTCGTACTACATTACTTCTGATTATTACTGGCATCGATACATAGAAGATGCAGTGGGCATATTTAAAACAGAGAAGGAAAATTGGAATTGGAACACCATAAATGTGTTTGTATTTGTTTTTAGAAAAAGGATGTAGAAAAACTGGAGGGCTATTTTTGAAGCCTTTGAGAAAATTACTCTGCAGAATTCTTCTAATACAATGAGAGAGAATGTGTGGGGATAGTTTAAAGTATGATATGAACATATTACATTTAATGTGTGAAAGGAAAGTGTCTAAAGGAAACCCACATTACAAATTGATTGTAATAATACATTTGCATTGGACTGAACTGTTGCAGTTCATCATTGTTCTTCTGCACTACTGCAATGGAATGAGCTCATTTGTATCCCCCACTGCCGGCAAAAGATAGCAATCACTTGTTAATTTTGTTTAAACACTGCAGTAAAATCATTGTTTCCATTGGGTTGTGGTCTTCTGGATATTAAGAGAAAATGTACACATTCAGTAATAATAGAGGTCCTCTGAAATCAAAGATATCCAAGGCTAGCTTTTGTCATGGTAATTTAAGCATATCACACGACAACAGTCTCTTTTTGGTTGGCTTGCTTGTTTTCCTGATGGACTTTGCTTTTTTCTACCATTTATGAGGTGTAGCTAAACACAGCAGGTCAACATGTTATAATTCTCAGTCTTGCTTTAGAGTACTGAATGTTTCACTGAGCTTTATGCAGTTTTTTTTAGTATTTCAGATGTACATCCATTTAGGACTGAGAGTGGGAGTGAATGAGGAATTGGACAATTAAGAGTAAACAGTTTTTTGCAAGTATGCTACCTTTTCGTATGCATTTCATTGACTGTTAGAAAAAAATTCTTCTTTTATGTTTTAGGCATATTTCAAATGACTATTTCTGACATATCAAAAGGTTTTAAGCCCTATAAAATACGGGTTTTATTAATTTAATTTATTTCTGGATTTTACTATTGTTCAGTAAAGATTTTAAGCTTGTACACATAGTATACTGTATGTGGATGCCTTAAATGTATCCAAGTGCTACTACATTTTTTACAGTTCACTAACAGATTTTATTCCAAATGGTTTACTGTTGTCCCTAGTTGTGCTAATTGTTCAAGCCTTTTATACCTATGTTGTTTATCAAAATGGCTATGTTCTGATTCTCTGGGTTTATTAACACTATCTGCATTCAGATATTTTGAAATTGCAGTTTGATGAGAACTCCAAAATCAAGGGCTTTACATAAGGAGCAGATAAATTGGAGAACAAAAGAGGTAAGACTCAACTTACAGAACAATGTATAAATATACACTTAGTGGCCAGATTATTATGATCACCTGACGTTTGTAGGCAAATTAGCTATAATTTGGCGCTGAAGTTGCTAGAGGGCCAGACCATTATAAATAGGGAAGCAGGTTGTTTACCACGACAGTAGAAGTGATTTTTTTCTGAAGATATGGGTAAACAACGCGATTTAACAGCCTTTGAACGTGGGATGATTGTTGGCGCTCGGAGCCATGGAGCGAGTATCAGCAAAACAGCAGAATTCGTTAAATGTTCAAGAGCAGCTGTTGTTAAAGTGTT